ACCAGGATAAAATGTATGAATACCGGGCATTGTTAAGTAAATCAGACAATTATTGATAATCTCTGAAAATAAAATCATTATTGAGAGATCAGGAATTCTCATCTAATGACCTTAATTCCAGTAATCTGAAGAACTCATTCTTAGTTGCATGTTAAGAAATAGCGGATATGTGTGAGAAAATGTTATAAAACATTCAGAATAAGATGCTTTATTCATTCCATTGTAATAACCAAAGAAAAGGAATGGGGAAGGAAATCGAACTTTCAACATGTCTAGCAACGAGTGATACCCTTATTCATCGCACCAATTTATCATTCGTAGTTTCTACGACACGAGTTCGTCTAGCTTCACATTACTAGCTTGAAATCCAAAAATTCCACTCTCGCAAACAGTGCTAAACAAATTTTTGATTATTTGAAAAAAATCAAATCAAACGCCCCGACCAATTGCAATGTACATCGCTTTCATTGACAAAAGATTGACAGAACCAAAAAAATTCCACTGCCTAATGTTACATCATCCAAAATCCGTGATCTGCTAATCCCTACGAACTTAATAGCAGTCTTATTCTTGAGTAACAAGAACGGTAAAGCTAGCACCAGCAGGAGATGGACATCGTTTTAAAATAATTGAAGAAATATTGATTTTAATTCAATCACCTTGAACCGAAATCATTGTCACTAGTAGATAAGAAAGTAAGAATGATTTCAAGACTGCAACGGTAAATTTTTTCAAAGAATAAGCATTGGAAAAGGAAAAGGATAATCATTGTCGGAAAAGGAATTAATAAACAATGGGAGCTAACCCCTCTGTAGATCAATTACGAAATATTCTGATCCGTAATAACAGAATTTGGAATGCAGAAAAGAAACATGGCTCAAAACGGATTGTTCCGAAAACTACAGGAAGGAGCATTTAAAGATATGCTTGTCATTATAAATTATTGGCAATAACTTCAGTAACAGCTTATCGGCAGCAAGTTACTTCAAACAATAAGTAAAAATAACTCCGAAATACGTATCCTTTATCATCAACTTTTTTAACATATTACGAACTCCACAAAATTAAACTCAGGAGTATAAAACCTGGATATTTTTAATTATAAAAAAATGAAAAATGAAAATTATTAAGACTAAACATAGGTTCCTAGAAATCTTTGTCATTAGAAATTATTGGAAATTCGATCATTACAAATCGGAGATCATATTTTTTTCGGTGGCCCAATTTTGGTTGCGTCTTAAACACAGTGACACAAAAACCGAAAGATACGAAAAGCCCCGTTGTATAAGATCAAAAAATAAAAAGGAAATAGCGGAACCAGTGAAAATGAATGACATCCTTATGAAGAACAGTGAAATGTAAATAACGACGAAAAATTTAGAGCTATTGTAATTCAAAAAGAAATTGAGCGAAATGGCCCTGCAACTGATCATAAAATGACAGAAAATTTAGAAAGAAATACAGTACCGTAAAATTCTCAGTTGGAAATTTAGTAACAATTCGAAAAAATTCATCACACCAAAATTTATAATAAGCAAAGGAAAAAGAAAACTAGAATCAAAACTCGCCTGTTATGAACAAAAAAATAAGACTAGATATGAAATTTAAAAGAAGGAAAAAAGAGAATATTCAAATTGAGCACATAGCGTAATTGAGCACACGGCTTTTCTTTGGTTTCTCATTTAAAAACAAATAATCATGATATATCAAATTTTAAGCAAAACTTATCAGATTTCCCTGTAGACATTGAATATAAAATTACACAAATAACTAAAAAAATTCATACTGAAAACTTTTAAATGAGAAACCACAGAAAAGCCGCAAAACTTGGTGATTAAATGCTGTAACAGAATAGTGTCATATAAAAGAATATAAACTGAATTCTTTTAGAATGAAAATGAATTTAAAACTGACGCGTAAAATTAAATAACTTATCAAAAAAAGCATTTATATTTTTGTTCTCTAATAGGAATTTATTGTTTGTAGTAATACCTCCTAATTCAAGAAAAAAAACAATGTTTGATATATTATTGAAAATAATTGTCGCCATTCCATTATTACTGGAAAGTATTGTCGACTGTGAGCATATACCAACTCCAGTTATGATAATTTTTTCACACTACAGTCATTCTTGCCTTGAGCTGATTTTGACTGTGGAGACAGCATTCGTGGCAGGACAATCAAAGCAAGGGAAGCAATAATATGCAAGCAAAAATAAAGACGACTGAAAACTGAATTTTAGTAAACAAAAAATACAAAATATGCTTAAGTAAGCAAGAAAAATATCACAAACTGATTACTACAGATTCATAACTTGAAATGAACTATATAGTGCAGTGGAGTTAACAATTTTTTCAAATTTTATTAAAAGTCTGATGTTCTTGAAATCATACCTGTAAAAATATAAACCAGGACCAAGGTGCATCATAACAAACGGATATGCTGCATAAGACAGAGCAATTTTGGTCATAACCAGTGTAAGGATGTCATAAAAGCGCTGCAAAAATTGATTCCTTTGAAAGCGCCAACGTAAGCAACGACGTACCTGAATCAAAAAAAAAATTTTCATTCACCAATCTATCGACTATTTCAGGTTTAGTTTCGCTGCTCAACATTATAATCTATAACAGTGTCAGTTATAAGTCTTAATCAGCTTTGTGAAAATATGTGCATAGTGTACTAAATAATAAAGTTAGACGATGTTGAAATATAAACTTAAAATGCCAAAATACCGTTCGTGCAGAAACAGTGAACAAAGCGCCAGTCAAGAAAGTGACATAATAACCCAAAAAGAAGCCATGCCAAACTGCTGACAATAAATATGTCGATAAAGTTCGGTATCTGAAAAATGCAAACAAATTTTAAAATGATAAAGATTACAATATGCAATTAAGAAAAAGCTTTCTTGAACAGTTTCAAAATTGCAAAAAAAAACATACCCTTTTGGAGCGCGATCATATGCAACACGTCGCAACCAGTACATCGTACAACAATTCCATCCTTCCAACGTTTCTTTGAAATTTAATGCTGTCTGGAAATCATCAAAAAATTCAGTTCTTTAGACAACAAAAATTTGATTTTACTGTAAGCAATGTAATAAATATATAACTGGAGTTTTGTTCTGAAATCAAAAGAATCAAAATGATACCTCAACTTTCCAAGGTTTGACGTTGGAAACAAGATCCCATTGAGGTTGCCCGTTTGAATCATAACCTCTAAATCCGAAACCACTCAAATTAAATATTGCATCGGCTAAAAATTTACATCGCTACTTTTAATTAGCAAAAACAATTAATAATATTCTTCTACCTTCTTTTATTCACTAAAGAATTTGACTGAAGTAGAAAAAAGCTAAGCATATAAAATAAAATAAAATTCGGTGATACAGTATACTGTTGCAATAAAAATATCAAATCCTCCAATATTCTTTTATACTTTCTTAAATTTATTTTTAAACTCAATGCATCTCATATGTGACTTTTCAAAATGACAAGCCTTTAGCGTTCTATTTTTACAATATTACCTTCCACTATATTTTTAAAGGTGGTTACGTTTACGTAATCAAAGCAAAGTGTAATTCT